GGCAGGCTAGGGCTTGTCACGCTTCAGTAGGGACGAGTGACTTCACCTTCGCAGAGACCCCATTCCAGCTCCCGTGAATCAAAGACGTGCCCCTGTCTTGGAGGGGAGCCGTCGGCACCCAGGGCCGTGGGTGCCACCACCGCCTGGGCTGCCCCGTCGTGGGTGGGTGACACCACTCCCGGCTCCTGGGGAAGGGTCAGAGGCTTTCTGGAACAAACCCGGTTCTAAGACTCGGTGGAGCAGGGACGCTGTAATGCCCAGAACGTGTGTGCGCACGCGTGCGTGTATGTGTGCGTGTGCGTGCTCCACGTCCTATGCAACTCGTCTGTTCAGTCTGGTGCTAGAGAGAACGACCAGGAAATCAGTCACGTGCAGAGCGGGGCCATGAGACATGCCTGAGACATGCCCCTCGCCCCTCCGAGGGTGTTTCCTCATTCGGAGTAAATGGGAATTTGGGCACCTCATGAAACATTCAGAAGCTTGGAATATTCTGAAAGAATGTTAAAATACTCAGCCCAGACCTTGGCCCGTGATAAGTGCTAGGTAGATGTTACCTGTTAGTGGGGCCGTTTTCATGTTCAGTAGGCTGTGGGGGTTCAGGGAAAATGTGGAGTCGGAGAAAATAGTTTCCCCAGCCAGCTCCCAAAGGCAAACGGATTTCTTATTCGTCTTTCCTGAAATGGCAAAGGTCGGGGCCAGGGGAGCTGGCGGGCGGGTGGTGTAGAGACAGGAAAAGCTTGGCCTCCAGCCGTCGCTGATTTGCGTCACGTTTTATTGTTCGGGGCACTTTCGTTGCCACTGTTCCCTTCTAAAGGAGAAGGGCATGAAGCAGCCCCCGAATGCCTCGGGGGAGGCAGAGCACGTGGGTCTCATGTCTCATGTCAGTGGAGGTCGATGGGGGTGACGCCTGTGGCCGTGTTGGGAAGGATTCTGAAGCCGTGTCCACGCCTGACAGGAAGTCGAGTGCAGGGCCTGACGCGGGGGTCTGCCCCGGGGGCGGCGGGGCGGGGCGGCGAGGCTGACGGCAGG